GTATTAATATGATAATGCAATAATGCGAATATCGTGCAATGGGAGTAATTTCGAGGATAACGAATTTCAGTTAAAATAACCGAGCTATAAATGACGATGGACCCTTTTACGGTAAAATTAATATGCAAATAATTTCAAATCTATAATTTCAACTGTTCCGATATTGGTGAGCATTATTAGTTTTTCTTTATTTTTCCCCTATATAGTTACGAAGGGATAATATCCGGATAATGCGCTATTATATCGATTTCTTATATATGTACATATACATATGTGTGTGTTGTATATAGGTACGTATATATATCAAATTATGTTGTAACAATATAATGTAATAATTCATAAAAACAAAGCAGAGAATAAAATATAGATTGTTTTGTTTGTGTGTTTGTGTGTGTTGTGTGTTGTTGTTGTGTGTGTTGTGCTTTTAAATATTATTAAAAAATCTACTCTCTTTATAGATTTTATTTATTTAATTAATTAATTAATTTTGTTTACTTATTTATTTTGTTACATGGAAAATCTTGAGCAGCTTGCATATTAATTTATTCTTTAAGACTTAATAAGTATTAAATAAGAGAAATATTTATTGCTTTTATTCATGCATATTTTCTTTTTAACAAATTCAAAATAAATCTAAAGACGCTACAAAACCGAAACATAAAAATAGTACGAATTATTGGACAATATCGCGCGATTATAAATAAATACTTGAACTACAACAGTTATTACGAAAAGTGCCTAGTTAATAGATTTGTAAAACATTTTTTGAAAATAAAGTTAGAGATACAGATGGAAGATTCACATAACACATACGAAGAGATCTCAATATATATTCAACGAATCAGGGAATAATTTTAGAGGACACTCAAGCAAAGCTGCAGGAGTTTTCGATAATTAAAACGCAACCACTGTAACGTCCACATTGACGTTTGCTCGAACTACTGCACCATCCAGTAAACGAGTCAGCTTCGATCCGGGAATTTCTCGCAAATGTCTCATCTACTAATTACTACCTTAAAATAGTCTACCATGTGGTTGACTCGCTGTGATGTTTCAACACTAATTTTCAGACGTTGCGAACAGACGTTTCGACACAAACATAGTAAGTAAAATTTCATTCAGCAATCTTTAAAATTCTATGAATTCTAAAATTAAAAGAACGTGATTGGTAAAAGATACGCAGGATTAAAGATTTGTATATTGAACTAAGGACATGTCAAATTGTAAATTTATGAAATGAGATATCAATCAAGTAATCTATTGATTTTTAAACCTAAAACATTTTAAGCCTAAAAAATAAATATTTTAGATAAATGACTTCAAAAAATAAAATAATATAGATATTAAATTCATTTTCTAAATTAAATCTCAATTAAATATTTTCTAATCCGTGCTCTTCCAGTTTAGAACTTTTTAAATATGTATATTTATACGTATATACGATGATGTTTAAATGTTAAACATTAACATGCGAGATTTTCAATAACTTAATTTAATCAAAACAGAGAAAACAAGTAAAATTTACAAACAATTTGTTCTCGAAAATATTCGATCTTATTGTTGATACGCTTTCAGAATAATGCAGCATTTGAATCTCAGTGTAGAGCATTGCAAATACAATATCCATCGTGAATATTACCAGTATATATAACGAAAATCCATCCTCGCCTGTCCTCGATTCAAGAGTAACTCGAGATGTAACATCGATATCTGAACGCGGTAGGCATCGGAGCCTCTGATCTAATTGTGAATGTGCCAACAATACCAGTATTCGTATTTATACGTTCTCTTACTGTTGCTATAACGGGCGAAAGTCCTGCAAATGCAACATTACGATTATAGGACGGACAGAGGATAATTGTGCTTGTACGCCGATATCGATATTAATTATAATTGAACCACGAACGCAAATGTTGTTCGTATTGAATAACCATCTGCACATCGTAAATTTAATGCGTATTATCTCCTGATAGAAAATAATATTGATCATCATTGTATTGACGAAGATCTTTGCGTTAAAGTTACAATGCGTAATCACTATGATAGTCCAAAATTTGTAATGTTTATAGTAAATTCAACTCGATATATCTTATTCGTAAGTACTAGCGAAGTATATTTTAAAAAATATAATAGTTCTATTATTTGAATAACTTTTCTCATTTATTGTTAATTGCTAAATTAGTTTCACGTTAATATGTTTTTTGACCTAATTAATTAAATATTATCCGATGTTGTTGACTGCTTTAAGTTGCAGTCCAATTACGTATCATTATTGAATATTAAATGATTTAATTAGGCTCTCATGCTCGAAAGCAGTGATTTATTAACTTTAAGTAACGGTAAGGTATATATTAAAAGAGCTCGTGGATATTGTACATAATACGTACATAATATATTTAAGTAGCCGGTGAGGGTAATATTCTAGTTAAATTAAAAATCTCGATGACCCAAAGCAGTTGCAGAGAATCACGTGCGCTGGCTTCATTATCGTGTGCATATTATGCATGATAAAAAGCTGCACGATAGAATAACAGCTTGAAGCTTATACAGAGTGTTTAAAAATTACTCAATTTAATTACAGATTCAGTGACCTATTTGGAATCTATTTTTCCTAAGGAAAAGCGATGAGTCACCTGTAGAGTTTCCGAGTGATTAACTACCGAAAATAAATGACTTTTAAAGAATTCTATTTAAAACAAAACAAGGATGTTATTTTATTTTAAAAAACCCGATCAAGATTTTTCCTAGACCAACTACAGTTATATGAATTGTCAATATTGCGAACAACATTCTGTATTGCGTTATAGTTAATACGTGAAACAATGGACGTCGAGATTGTGAGATGATCCGTACCATCTGAACTTACAAAGAGAAAGGGGCGTATCCTGGAGTGGATGCACTAATGCACCAGACTGCATAAATCGCGACGATGGAGAGCGAGAAATGCAAGAACGGTCATGCTCATAAACAAGTTCCTGCACGAGGGCGGCGAAATGCGCTTTTAGAGGGCACGTACATTCACCCTCGTCCTCGCGCCCTTTGACACCGTGATGGCCGGTGTAACAAGGATTTGCAATGGTAACGACGGTGTCTCGTGGCCTGTAAAAGCGCATAAGAGGACGCGCTATGCGCAAAGCATTTGCGTTAGTGCTCTACATTGAGGACACGTCCGAGTGTCTTCAGATATGACAAACGAAAAAGAGATTTTTGTAACAAAAAAAATCAGCATGTTCTGATAACATTCAAAGAATTTATCTTCAAGTCACATTATATTAAAAATTTGAGTGTGAATTTAATATTACGGCCGGTATTCATATAGTCGATTCTTTATATATTTAAGATCGTTTTGAGTATAATCTTAAGATGTCATGAGTCAATCACGAAGCCGTAAATACAGAGTATTCTGGAAATTTCAATTTAACTGGAAAAGGGATAATTCAATATGAAAATAAATCGATAACGTGAATAAAATTTTTCTATATTTCAACAAATCTCGTTGTACACTATTCTGTGTTTTCTGTTCATGTTTGTGTTTATTGTATTGAATAATCGAGAATTCGCGGTAAAACAGGATATTCACACACGATGAGTTTTATTACTTTATAAATTATTGAAAATATTATTGACATATCCAAAAACAAAGCCTCATATGAAAAAAATTTTATTCTACGTTTTCAATTTACTTTTTCATGTAGAATCATCCTCTTCCCAGTTACTATGAAGAATACCCTGTATACAATACCGTTGATATAAACACCAATAAGATGTGGATTTAACAACATATATTGGTGTTAAATTGTTTAAACGACGCTGAGAATTATGTAAAAATCGTATGGTGTTAAATCCACATTCATATTTTTTAAAGTACATCTTAAATATATTTAGAAAGAATTGCAAGTTTTATAGCCTGTGGTCCATCTATAAATATTGACGAGGGATGTGCTCGAAAGTTATTGCGTTATTATAATACGTTTGTATCGCTGTATGGCAATAACGTAGGAGTAGAAAAGAACGAAATATATCGAAGTTTAGGTATGCCAAATACAAAACCTACATGGCATACTTTTACATTGCTTCTTACGTTTATATTCCTCAATAATATACAAACGTGTACTTTTTTAGGTAATTGTATGCATTGTATTATGTATCTGCTCCCGGTTAATATTTCTTCTGCTGTGTTTTTTCTTTCGGGAAACTTACGTGGCAAACCGCGCATCGATAATCGACTACATGCGCCACGTGCAAGAGTCAAATGCGTTTTCCCCCCTCCCATAAAAAAGTCAAGAGAATCTCTAGTAATTTAGAACGAGGACATTCACGAAGTTTCCTTGACCTCGCTGCTGTCGCCTCTCGAAGATATTCGCGAAAATTCGAAAGCGAGCTACGCCGTTACTATTTGCAGCTTGCTTGACTCGCGCAAAAAACTTCCTCGAGTGCATTCCCGATTTAATCGGATATTTCCATCGTCACGATTCTACTCGATAATGGAATCAGATCGTATTTCTCCTTTGCATTATTTAAGAGACACGTGCATTAAAGTGCCGCGGAGGAGTTCATTCTTGAGTAAAAACAATTATTTCAGAACGGTGCGATATCTTCGATTCACAAATATGTAGAAACTCTGTTACATATTTGATTCTTTATTCAGAATACTATAATCTCTTAATTTTAACATAGATCATTTATAAAATATGTAGCTCATATTCATCTTAAAAGGAGAAGCATTAAAAACTCTATTTAAAGGAAATTTTGGAATTATATTAGAAACTCATAACAATGTCTTTAAAAGATTCCTAACATTTTAAGAATAGAAAATCATTTCTCATGTGTCTATAGATTTACTGACTATTTAAAAGAAAAAAAGGGGGGACAAAATTTTTTTAGGAGACAATCTTGCTTCTTCTTTTTATAAATAATTAACGTTGCAACAGGAATGTGCATATATAAATATTTTTTGAAGACATATATTATATTACAAAATTATTAGCACATATACTCACGAGATGCGAGTCCCTAGTGGTAAACGTAATTGGATCTGCTGTTCTAGGTTCACGACAGAAAAAATCCATTTTTCCCCAAGCCGCAACACCCGCCGCTCCGCTTTTGGCCGCTTCAATCAGCTCCATTCTGATTCTTTCTGCAGCAAACTCCACCTGCGAACATACGGTCATGACAATTAGTGTACGTTATATGGTAAAATAGAGAAAAAAAGTTGAAACTTTGGTTATTATTTTTTTTTAATTGTCCTGAATTTTAAACTAATTGAATTTATATTTCCAATTTAATTTGAATTTATAAATTCATATATACACTCCAGGCCAAAAGTTTTGAAACACCTTTTAAAATATTCATAACAATGTGTTTTTAATAATTCTTCAAATAAGCATTATTGGATTTATAAAGTTATTGTTAAAAAATACATTATTTTGGATATTTGAATATATAATCCTAAAAATGTCCATTTTTAAAGGTATTTCTAAACTTTTGGCCTGGAATGTATATTCTTCACGTTCCTACGTTCCTACATTTCTCATTTAAATTCTTGTTAATTATTGAGCTGTGCACAGCATTCTAAAATTTCACTCGTAATTAGATGCTGTATTCTAAATTTTAGTATGTAAAACGGAAATAGTCGTCAAGTCTCGATCTTCTGGAAATATCTCCTTATTTGAGCTGACAATATAAACAGCTGGAATTCTTGTAGAACGTAACTGTATGCATGCTCGTTTTCCTAGAAATAGCTGTTCTCAGAAGAAAGACCCAGAAGAAAGGATAAGCAAAGAAATGTCAGATTATCTTATATGAGATATCTTGCTTTTGGTCATAAAGGTTACTGTCTATCAACAGACATGCAAGCGTACTTGATACACATTGGTTGAAAGAGATATTTTAATTCATATTAAATCAGAAAAACTTGAGCGTGTGTGTATATATATATATATATAGTATAAAAAGCATATGGTGGTAAAAAATAGATAAAAATCTCCAATCAATAAATATCTGCAAGAAGATCTACAAGTGTAAAAAATTAATCCATTTTGACATATAGCGCAAAAGAAAAATTTATACGATTTTTCGTTTCTAACGTCATAATGTAATATGATTGCAACGGGGAGCTAAGAGCCTTAGGTAGAAGTCGAAACTTCGAGAAGGAATTTCGAACAATTTACATATCGCGAGCGCGCGTACGCTCGTAAATAAAACTCGTAGAAATAATTTATCGAGCGATTCGCATCGCTTCGCGTTGCTTAAGCTGCAAACAGTCAGCAAATTACAGTTGCCATTAACCTTTTGCCTAGTGCGTTTTACATTGTGACAAGTTTTATCGCTTCATTCGCGGTTTTTTGTCGCCACCCATGGTGCGTTAGTTCGACTTTATTCTTCACGGGTGGAACTCCCGAAGTAAGTTGTTCTGGCATGAATATTTCATTGCGTTGCGATGACCACGTCGACACCCTGTCGGGCGGAGACATTTTTATTGGTTCCTACAGAAATTTGATGTGCGTCGTTTTACCGATAGAAATAATTCCAAAATTTCCACTTAAAGTGTGAAAGTTTTAGTTAAAAATATTTTTACTTAAGTACTTAACAAGTTTAACGAGCATTAAGGGCTCTTAATTAGGAATCATTTCAACTTTTACTGTTATCCACCAAAAAGTTTCGATAACTTTAATAAAAGTCAACTTAGATTCATTAACGAGAGCGATTATAATAAAAATCTTTTTAAAATTCAGAGTTTACAAAATTATACTGATATATTTACTGGCTATCAAAAGATAATTAAGAAAATGGGATTAAAATTTTTCATGGGAAAGATCAATTTACACTATCTCAAAAATATAAAAAAAATTTGTAATTATATATTAAATCGTTGCAAATAAATATTTTAGAATTACACTATATAATCAAATCTTAAGAATGTATCAGATGTATAGTCTCTGCAAAAAGTAACTGGAATGAGATTAAATCTTATATGTACTTTCCGTATAAAAATTAATATTGCATATGAAATAGTTCAAGAAGGTCAATATTTATATTTAATGATACAATTTTACAGTTTAAATAAAAGTTTTTTCATTTTATCTTAATTATTTTTTAAAAAACCTATCTACTTCTTATTGAAATAATTTTTGATCCATATTCTAAATCATAAACTTTTTACATTACCTTCAAATACATATTAAAAATCTGTAATTTTTTTCATAATTTTTTCCTTTTCTTAAAAAATATGTACAATACATCCTTAAGGAATTGAGATACATTTTCCTGATTTTGATTTCACACGTACAAAGTTAACAAGAATCTCGTTATTTTATAAGTACATCATGTTACGTTCTTTTATACTATGTATAGGTATATAACATCCTTTTAATCAAATTTATTATAGCGTAGAATGTTTAAGCAATATGTATGCTCTCAAAAGAACTCGATGAGTCTGTGATTACATTCTCTTTACTGACACTACAGGTATCTCGTCAAACGTTCGACACTATCGCGATTTTCCATCGAAAATCGTTCAGTGTAATTTTGGTGACACAGTAATTGTCTGATGCTCGTAAAAAAGAGCACAAAAAAGGCAATTTAATGATTATTCCGCTCAATGGTATGATTCGATCACCAGCGCTATTATTGTCTCATCTCACGAAAAAATAGCCGTTTGCTTATATCAAAACAAATAAGAGAGCACGCAATAAATCAGTCATATTTTAAGTTATTTCTTTATGTTAACAAAAAATGAAAACACAAAATTAGTTCAGATTTAGAAATTATTTAATACGGACTGTGCTAAAATGAATTTACGAATTAAATTTTAGACACAGATTTATTGCGAAAATCGTAATTAATTCTTTCTAAAAATGTCACAAATCATCGCTTAATGCAATTTTCCAATTCAATTATCACTCATTTTTAAAATTAAGATTAAAGTTTGTTAAATAATGTAAATTGGAAATTGACTGAAAAGTATAATTTTTACATTTATTCCTTAGAGATTTGCTCTATAAAATACGTTTTATTTTCAATCATTGATCATTTATTATTTATTATTTTTTCTCTACTTTATAATTATTTATTCCGGTTCATTAAAATGCAATAATTTTGTCTTTAGTTTATCATGTTATTTAATGTTATTTAAAGTCTCTGCTTTATCTATGAAATTAATTTTAACCTAATTAGATATTTAGAAATACCTTTATTGAGTTCTACTGCATTTTATATTATTTTCTTGCAAAATATTGAAACTAATATTTTACAGCTTACGTAGAAATCTAGCATTAAAATGATCAATGGCTTCTATTACGCTTTATGCAATTTTGATTCCAGTTAAGCTTATTTACAGTGTAAGAGGATGAGAAAGCTGCTGCAACATATAAATAAGTCATGCTGCTAATCCAACCTTTCTCAGGCACCCAACGAAGTTGATGATCCCTTTGGCGCCCTGCAAGGACCTCGCATCAGCTCCTCCACCGACGAGAAGTCGATCGCTCGCCAAGTGTGTGAACGATCCCGCAGTATGACCATGCTCAGCGTAAACCCCATCAACAATAGCAGAGAGCTATAACAGAAAGAACAGTAGGATAAAAATTCCATGACGAATTATAGAATTAACTTTAACTCTTACTTTAATTCACTTTCTGCACACAATTAGCACATATTCAAATTAAAAAAAATATTAATATTATTAGTTTAACATAACCCTCAAAATGTATTCGCTTTGAAATATTTCGTAATTTTTCTAATAATTTTAAATTTCATGATTTTTTCTCAATTTTTTGTCTACTTAAAGTTTACATTCATTAAATGAAGACTTGTTTATTCCGCCTGTAATTTTTTCCAAACCGGTAAATTGCAAGCGTCGTTATATCTTGCTCTTCCTATAAAAGTAACCGGCATTAACGTCGGTAACGCGCTTCCACATCTCGGTAAAAGAGCGGCTAAAGTTTCCGGGGCGATCATGCGGGCATGTCGTAAAGTTTAGCATTTAGACAAGCACCGTTCTTGAGGAGCGGTTCGTTACGACCTTAGCAGTGGTGTCGATAGACGTTATCTTTTGGTTATATCCTTCCTTTTTAGTCTACCAACGCTTTAACCAACAGAAAGGGAAACAGGTAGAACGGGCAGGGTTAAAACGTTAGGATGTTACGTCCTCTCGCCGTACCTCTCTCAGAGGCATTTAACTGAGAGGAAGATACTATCCTCTTACTAATCTTCATCTTCACTTACCACCAGGGCCGCCGCGATGCAGCCTGGAGATTTTTAATAGCAAAAAAAAAATAAATCTTAGAGCTTTTTCAATTTAGGCAATTACAAATTACACAAGTTAAAACATTCGAAATATTTTCAGTTTTATAATAAATTTTACATTAAATATACTTAAGAAAAAGATGTAAAAAAGAATTAGAAATTTTCAGTTTTATATGTAACACAATTTCAAAATGTTAGTTAATTACAAAGTTTATAATTCATTTAATGCAATCATGAAAATTTACACATTTTTATATTCCACATAAAATTTGAATAACTACTAGAAACATTAATTTCGTTTTAACAATAATGTAATAAAAAATAGGAAATCTCATAACATTCTATAAAATTTGAGATGTTTAAATACGCAATTATGTGAAATTAATGTAAAAGAATAAATGTATAAAATATTATATAACAACCAACATATTGTAAACATATTGTAACTGAGATTACTATATAAATAAATAAGTTGAATAAAAGATTATTATATACAAATTGTTAATTTTTTTTCTATAGTAATAAAGTGCATTATTGTTTAAGTACAATTATCTTAAAACCCATATTTTTAGAAAACAACATGTTACTCAGTAGTGAAACAGGATATAAAATAAAACCATAATAAAGATACTAAGACTTTGAAAAATAAGGCTTTGAAAAATAATCTCTTTAATTGATTTAGCTCCGAAAATATAACGTGAAGCATTAAAGCCGTATATAGGGCCGGCCCTGTTTGGCGCTTCCGCCTTTTCTCATCGTAATTAGGTAGCTCTCTTGTCGAGGGCGCTTCCTTGGACCGCAGTCGAGCAATCTCCTTCATAATCCTCCAGGCCTTATCTCCGATGCTTCTCAGTGAACAAATAGATCTTGAGCTCATCGCGATGAAATTAAGGAACTCTACGAATAACGGTGTTCCGCACCGTAAAGCGTATTTTGCATAAAAGTATAAAGATACGTTAATGCGTTTCTGCCATCACTTAATCACAACTGCATGTATTTATAACAAAATTTAGTAGTAAAGTAATATCCAATTAAAACATAGTTGGTAACTCTAAATGAGGAACTTTACGCGCGTAATGTTTTCCTACGAAATGATAAATTCGTAGCAATAAATAATAAATATTTGTATATAAGTAAGATAATTATTTACGTAATCAATTTATAAATGACAAACCATTAGTTAAATCAATTCAACCGCTTTATATGTATAAGTTATTAAACGCTTGTTTATGTATTATATGTTTCTAATTACTATATTTATCTGTCATTTATCGATCACCGATTTCTTATGGTAGAACCATTAACGAAGATATATAAATTAAAATTGAATTGTTCGACAGGATAAGCACATATCTTAAATATATAGAAACTTGGCTTTATAAATTTTCAGTTTCATATCTCCTGTGAGGCTCATTACGTCCGTGGATTAGCCTACTTTGGCGAGTCCCCTAATTCAGGTGGAAATTTAATTAAGCCGAAGTAAATCAAAATTCGCAGCTTTGATTTGAATCGGGAAACCGCAATATCTCGCTCTATCACGAGGAAGAAATTAATTTTCCGACTTAATTAATTTTCCATCTTCATTAGTCGCTTCTGGACTCGCTGACTCGTGCTAATGGCCGTCTTAAACATTTATAACAGTGTCCCAATGTGAACTGAACCGGTAATTCATTGTACAGGCAACTATTTTCTTTCCCTGAAATTGAGCTAACATGATAATTTATGACCCGTCGCTTTTAAAATATAATGTATTTTGTATGCGTTTTGTTATTGTCATTTTTCGTTATGAGTTCAATGATTAATATTCTACGAGTTCTTGCATTTTCTCTTCATTAATTTTACATTATATTATAAAATAGCGTATACAAATATATGTATATATATATATACTTATGTTTAAATTATATATAAATAAATTATACATAAATTCGCATTGCAAATAACTTAATGATAAAAGATTAAGTAATATATAATATAATAATAGTATTAACCCAGCTGACATCAACTAAAAGTAACATAACATCTATGTTATTATTTCTCAACAATATAAATATAATATATCACATATTATATAACAGTTAAATTGTTAAATGCGAAATTATAACATAAACATTATATTACTTTTAATCGATGTCAACTGGGAACTTTTATACATTTTCAATAAAATTTTACATGTAAGAAAATTGTGTATCTAAGTATTTTATACACGCAACGTAACTAAAATTAATTCCTTAATAATATAGATATTATTTTAGAAACCTAAATGAACGATGGCGCGGAAAGGAGCCATGCAAACTCGGTTTAAAAGAAGCGGGTCCTTTAATAGCACCTTTTTCCTTGCATCATGATAGTCGTGAGCCACCAAGCGTCAGCAGACATTCCACGGTTGCGTGCACAATGTATTTGGGGCAACACAATAAACGTAGCCGGGAAAGTGGGCCGCAAACCCACCGGAGGAAACGTACGCGCAAGAGGGTCCCTCTTGCAACCAGTATGCTGATCCTCGTTTGACGAATATGGAGCGAACGGAGTGACAAAGGGGATGGAGTAGACTATTTATTACAACTAGACGTAAGCTCTACTTAGCCGCTCACGGATGACGGACATTGTGCATTTGTACGCGTCCGTGGAGACGCAAAAGTGCATCGTATCTTGTCGCTAATGATTTTTAAATTTTGCTTCTCGAGTGTTTGTTGCAAATCACATTGTAAATAAAATAACATGTAAAAAAATTATTAAATTTTATCTCTTTTATATAAGTAATAAAAAGTTTAAAAAGCTATCTGTGTTACAAAATAAAAATCTCAAAATTTTAGACTTAGAAACATTTAAAAAATTAAAGATATTAAAAGTAAAGATTTCAAAAATTTAATTAAATTTAAATAAAAAGAAATCAAAATTGTTAAAATTCTTGTATTAAGATTATAAAATTAAGGTTCAAGTAACGTTTTCTTAATTATATACTTTCATTAAAATATTGAGATTGTAAATATTCCTATTTGGACTATTTGTCCAATACAATATTTTTAACAATAAAAAATTATATAACTGCAATTTGAAAACACGATGTTTTTATCACGTAACAAATAGCAACGTTGTTCCATGTTAAAAATAGGAGCTGCAAAATGATTCCGTTTCACTATTGGTTTCGTTCGCTTCGCCGATCGTTTTTCTACATTACGTCGTACCACGGAAATAAATGATTTCTACGTTTTTAACGAGATCGTAAATTATACCCGACACCCTGAAAGGCGGCCTGCGGAATGAGTGAAAAACAAGGAAAAAGATTCGTGGGAAACCAGGGAAAACCGGAGAAACGTCATCATCGAATTTACTGGAGCATCGCGAAAGTCTTAAGAACGGTTCAAACTCAAACATCGAGGTGAAAAGACGGGAAATGTGAAAACTTCTACGCGCATACTCACTAGGGAAGAAAAAGGTAGTATCAATGCGAGATCTCCTTGCTCTTTGCATTATGAATGATTTATTCTTGCTTTTTAGAGGCGATAGTGTCGTGTTACAAGACATAAGATATAATTTCAAGGAAGAGGATAGTTTTTAAGATAGTAACATATCAGACTGATTTCTATTTATATTTCACATATCTAAAAATGAACATCAAAATAGAAACTATATTTGTGATAGTCACTTAATTGTAAAGTTAAATTATATTTCAAAAAGTGCAAAAGTTATTTCATATTACGTTGTAATTTCTATAATTTTAACGAGATTGCTAATTTTTATCACAACGATGTCTCATTGAAAAAAAAATATATGAAGTGGAAATATTCGCATTTAGCTAATGGGAAATTGTCAGCGATAAGTAAAAGAAGTAATTTACGTTTACGTGACAAGAAATTCGTGATAACGTCAGTATTTCCAGCTCACGATCTGTACCGTAAATTATGCAATCGATCGGTTTCGCGCCCATTTGCATTTCAGAATCTTTTTCCGACTCCTCGCTTGAAAGCAGTCAAGTGCAGGCGAGATGCATCAGCTGCAACTTTTTCCGCCGTCTCGTCGAAATCGTTGGTATATTTCTTTGAGACAGACAGGCGATGGAAAATTCATCGTTTATTGAAATGTTATTCCGTTCATAAGTAAAGTAATTTATCTCTTACATGAACAATTGAAACATTAGTATCATGAAAATATAAAATGTGAAAAATTATTTTTAATCGTCTAATTTTATGGTATAAAATATGTACCTTCTTAAATCACATTAATTTATTAAAGTTATAAAAAAAGTATTTTATGTACATATTTCTATTTTCCTTTTTCTTTTTTTCTCTTTCCCGCTCTTTCTCTCTTCAATTATACTATACTTATACATTAATTATAAAACAAAACAAGTAAAAAAATTTATGTTAAAATGTCCATATTATTTTCAAATGTTTTTGTTATTCTCCGAAATTTCCTTTTACCGAATTATTTCTTTCTCTCTTAATAATTCGATTATCTCAATTTCAAGAAATACAAAGTATTGTATAATAGTTATAATTAATAATACTGTGATACGTTTTGCAGTTTCATTAAAAATCTATCATTTATTAATTCTTCAGTCAGAACAAAACGTAGGAATTTCTTCTCACGGCATAACATCATTTATAAACTAAAAGTCCTGCGCGTATTTTATAGTTCAGTGGCATTGAGCTAGGATAAATAATGTGGGAACATTTGTCAACTTATTTCTGTATGCCACTCCTGTGAAAATACTTTCAATAAAAAATTCACACGGGATTCTTTCCGCCCGGAAGCACAGCGTGCGAGACAACGACGCTCACGTAGGCGAGAGGACGAGACTTGAATGGAGATCTCGAGATCACCCGCGTGTCTCGGTAGGACATGAGTAGAGCAATAAAAGGACGTGGCCGGAGGACCTAAACGGATGGATGACTGAGCTCTTGTTAAAAATGCCTCGACATTTCTCTAGGATGCAGGCAACTTCACGCCCTCCGCCCGTTGCGTTTCAAGATGTTTGGTAAGAATAAAGTAGCACAAAAAAGAAATAATCAAGTCTAACATTTAATCAATTTAAGATAATAAGTATTCTAAATATTCATCATTAAACAGATTTCCTACAAATATAATATTTTTCAAAATATTCTTGTAATATTTTTCAAAATAATCTTTTTTATAATTATATTTATATAGTATCGATGTATGTTATTGCAGATAAAATATAGGAATTATAATCACCGAATCGAATTAAAATAAAATAAATTTATCGTTTGATAAAATATAAAAGTAATATCAATTATTAAGTGTAAAATAAAACCTTTTATAAAAAAAAGTATACAGAGAAGAATCGTAATTAATCAACTAAATAATGTAAATTCAACTGGAACGACTGTAATATTCTTTTACACGCTATTTTTTGCGATATTTGCACCACTTTCAGTGCAATTGATCAAGTGCATCAAAGCGTCACGTACGTACAATATGCGGTATAATAAAAATCATACACTCACCCTGCAAAAGCTGGTTATTGAAGAGATCTGAAACAAAAAGCATAAATGTGCAATCAGTATAGAGTACACAGTATACATTTTATGCGTTTCCGAGCGGCGTCGACAATTGAAATCCAAAAGTTGCCCGATGTGCGAAAGCTTTCGAAGCTTGATCGCCGCGAAAGCTCGCGAGCTATTCGATGCCGAGCGAAACTTTTCGTCTGGATTATCATAAGAACTTTTTTGATGCGAGAATGGTTACGTGGCGCGTCGCTTGAGAAAAACGCAAACGTATTTTACGTATTTGTAGAAACTTCAGCGATTTTTATTTTCTCGCGAAAGAAGGCTCGCAATTTTGTGCATAAAAGCTTCGCCTGGCGGTACGAGTCAAGTTCAGAATTTGAATGTTTTTGTAGAAGTTCATTAGGAACTTAATCATCTTACCATCTTTTGGATGATAATAAGGTAATATCGATCTGTAAGATCACTGTCCGAACAAAGCCCCAAAATTCTCTTTTTTTCGCTTATTTCAAAAGATAAATAGCTTTCATTAAACATAAATACCTCGAAAAATATTCCATTTCGTTTTCATTTTATCTTATTTTCGTTCATCCTTCTTGCGGATTTATGACAGAGATAAAATTTTATGATCGTTTTTAAATGAGCGATACAGAACTCCAAGATTTCATCCGTAAAATTTTCCGCTATTGATAATGTTTCGAACGTGTGTGTGCGACAAAGGGCATTTGCTTTCTAAACGCGGGCAGTTTGCGAACCTGCGGTTGTGTGAGCCTTATTAAAGAATCCCTTTGATTATGAGGCGATTAAACGACTGACAGAACGGCAATGGCCGGAACGAGAAAGCTGGTGACGAGTTCTTGCTTTTGCGCACTGAAATGATCACGAAAAACGCACACGTACGTATCTCTTCTTGTGGCGATTATACATCGTATTCACAGACAAATTTGTCAAACAATCGTTGTAGACTTTTTCTTTGTCGTTTGACCATTGTGCACGTTAAACCAATACATTGCGATTACAAACTTTATACCGTTTTTTATAATACGCAGTTAACTATTTCATTTTTATTGAATTTTATTTTTGTTGAATTCTTGCATATTTAATAAATAAATATAATTCATATAAATTTCTATACATTTAATGCAAGTATATTCTATTTATTGTTGCACTGTTGCATCATAATGTCAATTGTAATATTTGTGCAAAAGTTAAAATAATAGATTATAAAAAGAGGTTATCGAAATACTATCATATCACTTGAAAACATATGTAAATTGCAATTTTTATTTTGAATAAAATTTCACACAATCATTGTAATATCGAATTTAATGTATACATTATAGTCAATTTTGGATTGTATTGTTACGGCAAAGCAAATAGCTTCTAAAAGCTTATAGTCAGTCCTACATACGAATGGTTCTTGATTCAGCATTATGTTAATATCTCGGCAAGCAATAGGATGATACTCTCATTGTTTGCCTTTGATCAGTTATCTGCCTAATTGGCTTTCGATTTAGATCGCCTTCAGGCTGAAGCGAGTAATATTCGATGAGATTTCCTATGCTGAGTACACTGTCGAGTATAAAAATAGGGAACAAAGGGATTACGAGCTCGATAAGCTTTGTCCCATGAAGCTTAACGCGCTGTATCTACACGAGTTACACAATTGGGCTTTACGAATAACGAAAAGTCAATATTTTATAAGGCAGTTTATAATTTATATCAGAATATGTCGAAATAAAATATAAAATATCTCAAAGTATGAATTTTATTTTTAGTACAAAGTTTTAATCGTATTTTTAATTTATACAATATTTTAATTACGAATAATCATAATACATTAATAAATCATCTATATATCGAATAGCATTATTTACGATGTTACAATGATGTTTTTAATATCAAATGTATAAAACAAATGTGACTTCTGTTTTACATGACTGGCATTACGCGACCATTGAGATTCCAATGGGGATTTTCATCGAACGTCATGAATTTAAGGACTACTTTGCAGCATATCAAAGAAAAGCTCCGGCATTC